GGATCGACTATATATGTATGGTTGTTTTTTTTTTTTTGATTTTTCCTTGATTGAATTCAGCAATGGGGCAAAAATAATTACTAGCGTATGATAGCCAATTGTTACTCCGTTTGCAACTTCTTGTGGCAATGGTGGGACACACATTTGTTTATCTGTTAAGCAATATTGCACACTTGTATACATATGCATATGCATGCACTAAAGCCGCATCTACCCTTAAGTTGGCTTTCCTGCTACTGCTCAAATGCTTTGGCATCCTAGGTTTTACTTATTCTGGACCTAAATTTACATATTTAGCGATGCAAGTAATGTCCTCTACTATTGAGGAAATTGATAATAAATGTATACATACAGTCTTAAAGAGTTCACTTTTAACCTTTTTCGTAACTTCTTGGGCTGATGTTGTTATCATATTTTCCTTGTAAGCTAGAATCCCACGGCATCAAACTGGTATACCATGGGTGGCAACATAGGACTCCCAATACAGTTGATTATTTAGCACTTCCATTTTGAGGCCTATATTTTTTGAATTTCTCAGAAATCTTGTTCCTGCTGTTATCATTTTTTTGTATCGCATCGTTTTTTGAGCAGAAAAATAAATTTGTTTGACCCATTTGCTTGAAGCCAGACTTATAGGATTATGATTCATGCAGTGTTATCATATTCACCTAAATGTATTAGTCAGTTGAGTTGTAAGCCAGAAACCCACCGCATCGAGCTGATTTACCATGAGAGTGGTAATATGTTACTCAAAATACAATTGATTATTTATCACTTCCATTTTTGAGGCCCACATTGTTTAAATTTCTCGGAAATCGTGTTCCTATTGTTATCATCTTTTATATCCCATCATTTTTTGAGCAAAACATGTGTTTGACATATTTACATGAAGCAGGACTTCTATAATTATGTTTCATGTATTCATTTGTTGTCATCCAAACTATATTTTGAGATGTGCTTTGGATGCAATATGTTTTGTAGGGAGCCTTATTACATTGTTTTCTTCATCCCAGCAACATGTTTCCTTTGTTATGTTTTTTGTGAAATTTTTGCTGAATGAGTTTTTTCTTCTTACTTTTATTACTGTTGACATAGTTGGCTGTGTGGTGGAGCTACTGGCCGGGATCATACTTGGTCTCATATCACTGGACACAGTTGTGGGCGCTATAAAGAAGACCGTGAGAAAAAGGCTGAGCGTGCAAAAAGAGACCTTTACCGGTACATGCACTATCACAACCGTTACAAAGCCCATACAGATTCCTTTGAGCAGGAATCTAGATTAAGGGAGACTATAAGAGAGAAGGTGTCAAATTTGGAAGAGAGGGATTCAAGATTGAGAGATTTCAGCTGGGTTACAAATGGACTTTACAGACTCTTCAGATCAAGGCGGGCTCTATCCTATTCATACCCATTTGCATTTTATATGTTTGGTGATGACCTGTTTAAGGATGAAATGACAAATGAGGAAAGGGAATTGAAGCAGCATTTATTTGAGGACCAGCAGCAGCAACTTGAGGCAAATGTTGAGAAGCTATCGAAATTTATTGAGGAGCCATTTGATCAGTATGACGAGGACAAAATTATGGAGATAAGGATGCAAGTCATTAATCTCTGTGTGATTACTGATACTCTCTGCAAGAAAATGTAAGAATGACAAAAACAAATCCCCAAACATTAATAAGGTTTGTTAGTCTGATGATCTTGCTAATTTCTTGCAGGTATGAGTGTATTGAGAATGATTTATTGGGTTCTCTCCAATTTGGTATTCACAATATAGCTCCATACCAGTCGAAAGGCATTGAGAGGGCAACTGAGCTGACTGTCTTCTGGAGTGCTACAGCCAATGACACTGGCAAGTTCCACAAACCAGACGAGCAGACAGGTGGTAAGGTGTTTGAATTTCTTCTGCCTACCGTGGTTGGTTCTTCATGATGCTTCACTGTAGGGAAAATAGTGATTTAAAATTTCGAGGCTTCTACGTGATAAAATTGAAAATCATATTCACCATAGTTAGCTGAAGTGATGATAAATATATGTTCCTGGTAGCTGGTTTTTGTAAAACTGCTGCGTGTGGTCTGCATCATGTTGTTAAATAAGGTACTTTTTAATGTTGATATCCAGAGGTTCTGTATTATGTTGTCTGCACATTTGTGCTATGAATGTTGTAATCCCAGGGTTCACCAATTTATACCTGGGTAAAAAAGACACCAGTGCTGTACTTCTTAGAATTTTCTAGCCTACGATGCATAATAGAAAACAGTAATCTTTCATGGCTTTGATCTAATCCCATATCACTCTCCTATAGTAGGATTTCCTACTTGTTAGCCTGAACTCTAAGTTCTAATGCAATGATGATGTACAATTTACTTGTCCAAAATAAGTCTCAGAAAGTAATCTTTTGAAACTCGTTTTGGTAAGTAGCAATCTTGAAACTTACTTTGGGAGAATTTTTATGTGTTGAAATTTTTTCGGTCAATTTGAATGTTTTCTCATTTGTGTAGGTATTTGATTGAACTCCAAACAAAAGTTCTCTATTAACAATGTCGTTGCCATAACTAGACTTGTCCAAACTGTAATCTTGTGACCCATTTGAATTGAACTTATTTGTGATCTGTCTCAACTAACTTTCCTCATCTCTATAAATTCTGTTGTACCTCTAATGTCTCATGCATGCTGTCAGCATTACCCTATTAATTCATGTTACCAGTAATCCTCTCAACACCCTCATATTATATAAGCAAACTTTATGGTCTGCTTGTGTTTTGAATGCATTGTATTTTTATTATGAACTGCTCTAAACAAGTATTCCTTTAATTTGATTCTTGAGTCTGCATCAATAATCACATCAGAAGCATTCTTCACGTGTAAATGGAACATTTCTCTGTATATGATGTAGAACTGGCCAGAAATTCTCAATTCTTTTACTGATTCCCATCATTCATACCACAAAGTTGATCTAATTTTTTCCTGATCACATGCCCATTAAGTTTTATCAAGTGCCGTATCTCAGTGGATTGCATATTGAAATGGAGTGCGTCAATAACTCTTCTTAAGCAACTCTGTTTGTAGGAGGCACAACGGAATCTGATCGCCCTTCAGGATCTGGGAGTTCAGATGACAATGGATGCTCCTCACGGAAGCGTGCAAGAGAAGGGAGTTTTGGAGGAAGCCTGTTTGATCTTAACTTACCAGCAGATGTTATTGACAGGAACTAATTTCTGGAGCTGCTCTCCAAACTAAACGTAAAGTGTACAGCTCTGTCTAAAGAGCAGTTCTATGTCTGATTAGGAAGATGGTTCAGGAGATAGAACTCCAGGTGTTTCAACCCTTTTCTCTGTTTCTTTTGTTTGTCGATATTTTTGAGATAGCGTTGGAAGAGACGACTAGGACTTTTTTGTTCTTAAATCTTTTCCATCTCTCTCTAGTTAAAAAATCCTTGGATTTGTACATGGCCTTTATATTCGGATTCTGGGCTATTTGTATAGTCTCTCTACTGGAAATTGAGTACACTAACTCATATATTTATGGATAAAATCACCATTCTTTAGAGGATGGAAACCATAAGATCGCAAGGTCTATCCATAAGTAGCTGTTTCAAGTTATCTAATGCTGTAAAATTCTTGGTCGATTTACTTTATTTCTGGCTTATTCGTTTCCTATGAGGGTGGGTCAAGGCAATGTTGTTCTATTGTGATCTCGACGTCATATGATTTAGTCGGAAAAGTAATATTTGTGTTCGGCATGAGCTGCATGTAGCTTCTGAATGATGTGAGTTTCGGTACTAAACTGCTTTTCCCAGCCCTTGGAGCAGCCTCTGTGAGCATTCGGTAGATAACTCCTTCGTAGTGATTTTCTCGAGGAACAAATGTCTTGTTATTTTTGTTGAATGATGAATTGCTCCAACCACGTGTCTTTTAGGCTCAAATTGCCACGCGGCCAATCAAGACATGCCCATTCGCTCCTACGATATATAGAGTGATAACATAAGAAAGTAAATTTCATGCCCATGTGCTTTTAGGATACATCATACATACACTGATAAATAAGAAAATAAATTTCATTTCAAAATGGCTGAATATTTTTGTTTTTATGGGAAAAAAAAAAAAAAGAATCTATGATCTTATTTTGGTATAGTTTGATCAATATTTTACAATATTTCACAAACAAATTTTTAGGTTTTTTTTATCTTATTTTTGAAATATTTATAAAATATTTTTGAAATGATTTTATTTTTTAATTAACTGAAATTATGCACTGAAATAAAATTTTGTTTCGCTGAAAAATCCAGCCAAGACTCTTTACATTTGTAACTGTATTATGCGTGTTTACATGGATCCATGACACTCGTGCAAAGCATCAACTTTGATGCCATTGCTATATTTTATATATTCTTACTTTTTTCCCCTCAATTATTCAAAATTCGATTCGATACCCCTGATTTGTGGTCTCCATTCAGCAGACAACATATTTGCATGGGTGGTAGCTTACCCAGGTTTGAAGATTCTGTTTTTGCTTTGATCATTGGCGTTGACTAACCTGATTAATGACTTTGGAAAGTTCGCTCCTGTGTCTCTTATGGGTTTCTATGCCTTCATCAAACTTATCTTTCACTAATTACAAGCAGATATAGAGATTGGTGCAGAGAGAGAGAGAGAGAGAGAGATGATACACTCTGATTCACAAAGATTCCATTAGGCTTTGTGTTTTCTTCATGGGAAGAATTCAAGAAAATAAAACTTCTCACTTTGTGGACTGTGTAAGCAGTTGTGGAAGAAGTAACCCAGGGAGCAAATTACCACCAGTGTAATGCTATTTAAAAAATTTGACATAATTTATTAATCTAATTATGTGATTTTAGTATAACCACGAGATTAATATTAAATTTTAATATTTAATGAGACTCATAATTAATCTAATTTTTTATGAAATTTTGTTGCAATTCAAATTTTTAGAACGAATTGGACGGATGCAGATGTAAATTAAGATTTTAAAATTCATTGGATAAATGGACTGATTTCAAAATTTAAATTTTTTATTGAATTTGGATCTGAATAGATCAAGATCTCATCCAAATCTAATCCGTTGACAGCTCTATTTTCAACACAAAGAACTGAAACATAATCCCATAGTCAACAAACATTTTGTTAGGCACTTTTCTCTAAAATCATGTTTTTTTATCTTCTAATTATTGATTTTTAAAAGCTTTATGATTATTTCAAGTTCTTATTTGACCTTCCAATGGGGTTTTATAGTAAAAGAAGGCATTTTCACAGATACCTAAGCAAAATATAATACTCATTTCTTTCACTAATTCTAATGGCGTTGAAGTTTGTAGTAATTTTTTTTTTTTTTTTACAGAACTCGATGTTATGAAATGGGTCTGCAGGGATGTCTGTCAGTTTCCTTTGAAAAATCATAATGTTGACTTAACTCGACCAAGATCGTTTGTTTATTTTTAGACACGTTTATTAATGAAAAAAAAACATTTTTCGACTTTTCCTCAATTTTCTGGATGTTTTTGGTGACAAAAGTGCGCGGTTTTCTAATATCAAATAGGTGGCGAGTTGAATAAGTTAAAGTAAGAGTAGTTCAAGTGGTAACAGAGACGAGCTATAAATCGAGATATCTTGAGTTTGAATCTTACTAATTCTTAAGGGTCAGGTCGTGAAGGACTTATCTCTCATGAATATTCTAGTTCCAGCATGTATAACTTGCCTTTGATCGAACTGGAGATGAGATTAGTTGAAGTGCGTATAAACTAGTTTAGACGTCCCTAACTATTGAACCAAAAAAAAAAAAATAGAATAAGTTGAGAGGCCACTTTAGAATCAACCCGGACTTATAAAATCCTTAATATGAGTGCAACACACACCCAATTTCAACTATAGTATTTGTCATACTCAAAATTTTGAACTCAGACTTATATAATTCAGGCTGAAATTTGAGTTAATTCTCGGTTTCAAACTCAAATTGAACCAGAACTTGCTATTTCAAATTGGGTCACACAAATCAAAGCTTCAATTTGAGTATTATTTGAATTTAACCAGTAGAGTTTATCTATCATAATCCAACACAAAAATTGAAAAAACAAATTATCAGTCAAGCACAGATTGAGTTCTAGTTAACCTGTCCAAGATTTATATGACATTGTGAGTAAAACATCGCAGGGTCAACTTAGAAGTGTTAATACGTTAATTGCTTAGGACCAAAAAGATTTGAACCTTTTATTAGGTTGGGTACACTTACCATACTATTTTTTCACACTCCATAAAAGGTTAGCCACCCTCATTCTTTAGGGGGACATGTCTTTAAACTAGCTCAAATTACAATTATCGGTTTAGCGCTCGACAGAGTAGTTGTGTTAGAGCATCTAGTCCCGTAGGACATAATTATTATCAACCCGACAAAAGAATTGGGTCAAGGGTCGGCGATTTAGAAGTATAAAATAAATGCTTCATGCAAATTTCATCAAATAACAACACAGAGAACAAAAATCAAACATGTCCCATGAAAAAGTTAGTGAGTTTTTCCTCTGCAGATTTTGAGCTGCGACTCCATTGAAATGGACCCATTTTAGCTGTTGGCAAAATTCTCCAAGAGTTTGAATCTTGACAAATTTTTAAGATTAGACAACGAATAATTTATCTCNAAATTCTCCAAGAGTTTGAATCTTGACAAATTTTTAAGATTAGACAACGAAAAATTTATCTCGCATGAATATTTTAGTCCAAGTCTGAAAAAGAAAAATTCTCCAAGAATCAAAAATTAGACACGGGAAAACCCACAAATGTTAGTCATTCATTTCATTTCAAACATATCCTTTTTTGCTTTGCCCTTTAACCTTCACCTTTCAGCCCTTTTGAGGTTGCTTTTATTCTCTTTTAAGTATCCCTTTTGGGGTGTTAAAAAGTTGAATAGCACTGTAATCCTCTTTCTCAGTGTGTTTTTTTATGGGTAGGAGCGAGTTGTTCAACCATACGTTTTATAAATTCGTGACTATAANGACATGCCCATTCGCTCCTACGATATATAGAGTGATAACATAAGAAAGTAAATTTCATGCCCATGTGCTTTTAGGATACATCATACATACACTGATAAATAAGAAAATAAATTTCATTTCAAAATGGCTGAATATTTTTGTTTTTATGGGAAAAAAAAAAAAAAGAATCTATGATCTTATTTTGGTATAGTTTGATCAATATTTTACAATATTTCACAAACAAATTTTTAGGTTTTTTTTATCTTATTTTTGAAATATTTATAAAATATTTTTGAAATGATTTTATTTTTTAATTAACTGAAATTATGCACTGAAATAAAATTTTGTTTCGCTGAAAAATCCAGCCAAGACTCTTTACATTTGTAACTGTATTATGCGTGTTTACATGGATCCATGACACTCGTGCAAAGCATCAACTTTGATGCCATTGCTATATTTTATATATTCTTACTTTTTTCCCCTCAATTATTCAAAATTCGATTCGATACCCCTGATTTGTGGTCTCCATTCAGCAGACAACATATTTGCATGGGTGGTAGCTTACCCAGGTTTGAAGATTCTGTTTTTGCTTTGATCATTGGCGTTGACTAACCTGATTAATGACTTTGGAAAGTTCGCTCCTGTGTCTCTTATGGGTTTCTATGCCTTCATCAAACTTATCTTTCACTAATTACAAGCAGATATAGAGATTGGTGCAGAGAGAGAGAGAGAGAGAGAGATGATACACTCTGATTCACAAAGATTCCATTAGGCTTTGTGTTTTCTTCATGGGAAGAATTCAAGAAAATAAAACTTCTCACTTTGTGGACTGTGTAAGCAGTTGTGGAAGAAGTAACCCAGGGAGCAAATTACCACCAGTGTAATGCTATTTAAAAAATTTGACATAATTTATTAATCTAATTATGTGATTTTAGTATAACCACGAGATTAATATTAAATTTTAATATTTAATGAGACTCATAATTAATCTAATTTTTTATGAAATTTTGTTGCAATTCAAATTTTTAGAACGAATTGGACGGATGCAGATGTAAATTAAGATTTTAAAATTCATTGGATAAATGGACTGATTTCAAAATTTAAATTTTTTATTGAATTTGGATCTGAATAGATCAAGATCTCATCCAAATCTAATCCGTTGACAGCTCTATTTTCAACACAAAGAACTGAAACATAATCCCATAGTCAACAAACATTTTGTTAGGCACTTTTCTCTAAAATCATGTTTTTTTATCTTCTAATTATTGATTTTTAAAAGCTTTATGATTATTTCAAGTTCTTATTTGACCTTCCAATGGGGTTTTATAGTAAAAGAAGGCATTTTCACAGATACCTAAGCAAAATATAATACTCATTTCTTTCACTAATTCTAATGGCGTTGAAGTTTGTAGTAATTTTTTTTTTTTTTTTACAGAACTCGATGTTATGAAATGGGTCTGCAGGGATGTCTGTCAGTTTCCTTTGAAAAATCATAATGTTGACTTAACTCGACCAAGATCGTTTGTTTATTTTTAGACACGTTTATTAATGAAAAAAAAACATTTTTCGACTTTTCCTCAATTTTCTGGATGTTTTTGGTGACAAAAGTGCGCGGTTTTCTAATATCAAATAGGTGGCGAGTTGAAT